ACCATATTCGTGCCCCTGAAGATTTTAGAAACCTCAAAAGGTCACGCTTCAGCCTCTGACGCTCAGCCTGACAACAATTCTGTGATTGGCTCCAGGGTAGCTGAACAGCTTGTGGATGTGAACGACAGTACCAGAAGCTTTCAGACCTCTGGAACAGGAGATGGCGTCTCAATCCAATAAAATACCTAAAGCCCAAAGAAAAGCCCCTTTATTTCCCCTCACCAGATGTTGTAAGCTGTGGCGTTTTAGCAGTGACTAAGAAACTTTGCACTTAATGTACCAATCACTCTGTGCCTCCTTGAAAGAAATGAAAAAAAAATATGGAGAAGAGAGATTTGAAGAAGAGCAAATCTTTGCAAGCAAAAGGATCATCTCAGCCATTCCTGTGGACTGGGGCCATTGATCAGCTTTCGCACTTGCCCACCACCCCACCCCACCCCCACTTTAATATCAATATTGTTTTGTCTGTCTGTATGTATATGTAGAGGGGGAGTTTATAAGGAGTGTCAACATGTAGCATTATACATTAACAGTGCACAGTTCTTTACCTGTGGTCAAAATCTGTTTATTTCTGATAAATAGATAGTTCTTAAGAACAGGCACCTGCCCCTATTTCTGTTGACTTTGGAGTATCAGGGACATAATTTGGGGAATGTTGTGTACTCTGGTAAAATATTCAACTTTTATGACAAATCTAAGCATAGTGGAGCTTGATTTCAATTAAGTCACCTCTGATTCTTCTAAACTCCAAAAGACGCAGGCTTTTTCAGCCTTTCCTCAGAAGGCAATCCACCGTTTCCAGGTATTAGTTTGATTAACCCTCTCTGAACTGCTTCCAATACATTAACATTGTTCTGTAAGTACAATGACTAGTGCTGTACACAGTACTCCAGATGTAGTCTCACCAATACACTGTATGGCTGAAGCATAACCTCCCTGCTATTGACCCCAATGAGCCATGATACCATTGTATAGAATATAGGAGCAGGAATAGATCATATGATTCCCTAGAGTTTGTCCATGCTAATGAGGGACTTCAATCTCAAACAAACAGCGATAGTAACTAGAATGTAATAAAACATTTTGTTTCTAAATGTCTTTCTTCTTCTTATTCTGCTGCAGTTCAGTTGAAAGCACTCTCGCTCTTAGTTAAAGTCATTCTCCAGAGACTTGAGCAGATAAGTAAATGCAGCGTGGAGTGTCAGATGAGCAGTATTTTAGATGATGTTTTTATGCATACAAAACAGTAACATCTGTTTCACATAACAAGGTGTAGAGCTGGATGAACACAGCAGGCCAAGCAGCATCAGAGGAGCAGGGAAGCTGACGTTTCGGGTCTAGACCCTTCTTCAGAATATCCTTGTCATCTCAGATTCTCCAGCATCGGCAGTTCCTGCTATCATCTGTTTCACATATTTGAATAGGTCTTGTTGTGTAGAGTTTTTATTTTTCATTATGAATGTTTGGCTGAGTTTCAAAAGCTTAAAAGCCACTTATTTCAGCAAGGGATTGTGCTCACAGTTTGACAATTTTAATAGGGTATTAAAGGATTATCTGCCTTTGTTGTTTCAAAATGTATATTTGCTCTTACAAATGACCACTTGAAAGGAATTACAATGGTATAGTTTTTTTTTAATATGAATGCTTGTGTTTTACGATGTTAATTCTTTTAGATTGTTAAAGGTGTTAACTCATAGAATGCTATCTTTTACTGTGAGGGAGGTTGAATGCAATAGCAGGGAGGTTATGCTTCAGCCATACAGTGTATTGGTGAGACTACATCTGGAGTACTGTATACAGCACTAGTCATTGTACTTACAGAACAATGTTAATGTGTTGGAAGCAGTTCAGAGAGGGTTAATCAAACTAATACCTGGAAATGGTGGATTGCCTTCTGAGGAAAGGCTGAAAAAGCCTGCGTCTTTTGGAGTTTAGAAGAATCAGAGGTGACTTAATTGAAACAATATAAGATGCTGAGAGGACTTGACCATCTGGAATGGATGGTTCTGTTATGGGAGAACCTAGAACTAGGGGTCATCGTTTAAAAATAAGGGGTGACCCATTTTAGACAGAGATGGGAAATATTTTTCTCTTGGAGGGCAGTGGGTCTTTGCAATTCCTTTCCTCATTAGGACTCATAGAAGGCAAACAGCATGGAAACAGACCCTTCAGTCTTACTAGTCCACACCCACCATGTTCCCAAACTAAACCAGTACCTGCAATTGGCCCCTACCCCTCCAAACCTTTTTTTTCCCTTTATTCATTCACAGAATGAGGGCATCGCTGGCCGAACAGCATTTATTGTCCATCACTAATTGCCCAGAGCGTAGTTAAGAATCAACCACATTGCTCTGGATCTGGAGTCACATGTAGGCCAGACCAGGTAAGGATGGCAGTTTCCTTCCCTAAAAGGGATTAGTGAACCAGATGGGTTTTTCCCCAACAATTGGCAATGGATTCATGGTCATCATTAGATTCTTAATTCCAGATATTTATTGAATACAAATTCCACCATCTGCATGTGCTTATCCAAATACCTTTTAAACGTTGTAACTGTACGTCCATTTACCACTTTCTCTGGAATTTCATTCTGTACATAATCCACTCTTTGTGTTAAAAAAAAAGTTGCTCCTCGTGTCCTCTTTTAAATTTCTCCTCTCTCCTTAAAAATATATCCCCTAGTTTTGAACTTGCCCACCCTGGGGACAAGATCCTTGCTATTCACTTTATCTATGCCCCTCATGATTTTATAAACGCCTATAAGGCCACCTCTCAGCCTTCCATGCTCCGTGAAAACGTTCCCAGCCAATCGAGCCTATTTTTGTAACTCAAACCCTCCATTCCTGGCAAAATCCTGGATAAATGTTTCTAAATGTTTTTAAGGCAAAGGTAGATTCTTGATTACCAAGGGGATGAAAGATTATCGGCGATGTGCAGAAGTATAGAGTTGAGGTGAAAATCACAATCTTATTTGATGGGGGAGTAAGTTTGAAGGGCCGTGTGGCCTACTGTTATACATTGTTTGGTTGTTTGTACCTTTTAAAATGCATTTTGAAGAATTCCCATTGCTATTACATGGCTGCTAAAAGCTAAACACTATGGATACAGTGGCAGCACACTGGCTTAGTGTAGCACAGTGGCTCAGTAGTTAGCACTGCTGCCTTGCAGTGCCAGGGACCCAGGTTCAATTCCACCCTCGGCCAACCGTCTGTGTGGAGTTTGCACGTTCTCCCCGTGTCTGTGTGAGTTTCTGCCGGGAGCTCTGGTTTCTTCCTATGGTCCAAAGACGTGCAAGTTAGGTGGATTGCCCATAAGTTTTCAGGCTAGATGGATTAGCCACGAGAAATGCAGGGTTACAGCAGTACAGTAGTGGGATTGGTCTGCATGGCAGGGTTGGTGTGGACTTGTTGGGTCAAATGGCCTGTTTCCACACAGTGGTAATTCTCTATAAACAGAGTGATTGGCTTTGGCGAATGCAGATGGTGCATGGGATTTGAGGGGTAGGGGAGGATGGGAGGAGTAGAGGGCCTGACACTTATCACAATTGAACTGATGTCCCAGTAAATAGAAAGTGCAGTTCTGACCATTCACAGGACTCTGATGTTGCCTCGATCAGATCTGACTCTAAAGATGGCAGCCCTGGTGGGGGGGCACTGATCCACCTTTCAAGAAGGTGTGTCACCATGAGTCATGACCACTTCACACTGTACTTTCCCACCCTTGCCACAAGAATCCAGCCCTTTTTGTTCAAGTAGATAACTTGCTGAACCAAGAAGGAGGCCAGGTACAGATGACCTGGATCTGTGGTGACATCGACAAGGTTGAGTATAAGATGGGGAATATCGCACTGAGACCTTGGAGAAAGTCTCATCAATGGACTAAAGATCAGGCTATGGCAGAATATATTGAGGTAGGCATTGAAAGTAATAGAGTGGAGGTCATTGTAGGTGTACAAGTTCTCAAAGGACAGACAACAATATCGTTTCTTCATCTTTCCCAATCTTCTGAGGAACAGCGACATTCAGAATGGTGAGTGGCTTGAAGGGGAATGTGCAGGTGGTGGTGTTCCCATATAAGTGTTAGAGTTTGTGTTTGGATGGTGCCGTCTGAGGAGCCTTGGTAATTTACTAATTTGCTGTAGATAGTACAAACTCTTGGTACTGAGCATCGGTGGTGGAGGGAGTGGATGCTTGTGAATGTGGTGCTAATCAAGCAGCTGCTTTGTCCTGGATGGAGTCAAGCTTCTTGAGTGTTGTTGGGGCTGCACTCATCCAGGCAAGTGGGGAGTATTCCATCACACTCCTAACTTGTGTCTTGTAGATGGTGGACAGGCTTCGGGGAGTCAGGAGGTGAGTTACTAGGATTCCTAGCCTCTAACATACTGTTGTAGTCACATTATTTATATGGCTAGTCCAGTTCAGTTTCTGGTTAATGGTAACCCACAGGATGTTGTTAGCAGGGGTTTCAGTGATGGTAACAGCATTGCATGTCAAAGCGAAAATCTATTGTTGGAGATGGTCATTCCCTGACAATTGTGTGACGTGAATGTGACTTGCGACCACTCAGCCCAAGCCTAGATACTGGAGGGAATGTCGCTGATCAAGCAGTTGAAGATGACTGAGCCTGGGATTGGAGTGAAGTACTCAGTGATGGTAATGGTGTTGAACATGTAGGGGAAATGGTTAGATTCTGCCTTGTTGGAGACTGTCATTCCCTGGTATTTGAATAGAAGCCAAACGCTGTGGATGCTGGAAACACAGAACAGACACAAAGATTGCTGGAGAAACTCAGCAGGTCTGGCAGCATCAGTGGAGAGAGTTAACATTTCACGTTTGAAATGACTCGTTCTGAAGAAGTGTTGTATCAGCCTAGTAATGTTAACTCTGCTTCTCTCTCCATAGACCTGCCAAGTTTCTCCAGCATTCTCTGTCTTTGCCTGGCACTTGATCGGCATGGATGTTACATTGTTCCATTGTAATATGTTTCTCTGTTCACCCCAGAATGGTTGCAAAGCAGCAGTGGTGTTCTTTCATTACTGCATCATGGCAAATTTCTTCTGGCTCCTGGTGGAAGGTCTCTACTTGCACACGTTACTGATTATTTCGTTCTTCTCAGAGAGAAAGTACTTCTGGTGGTACATACTTATCGGCTGGGGTAAGGCTAGTACATGAGTCTGTTACACATTTCTGGCAGTCATTTATCATTTGGGTGTGTGTGTGTGTGTGTGTATGTGTGTGTGTGTGTTTGTGTGTGTGTATATGTTTTTGTGTGTGTGTTTATGTTTTTGTGTGTGCATATGTTTTTGTGTGTATGTATATGTGTGCGCATTTGTGTGTGTGTATGGTGTATGTTTGTGTGTGTGTGTGTGTGTCTGTGTGTATGTGTGTGTCTGTGTGTATGTGTGTGTGTATGTATGTTTGTGTGTGTGTGTATGTGTACGCGTGTGTGTGTATGTGTGTGTGTGTGTGTCTATGTGTGTGTGCATGTGTGTGTGTGTGAGTGTATGTATGTGTGTGTGTGTGTGAATGTATCTGTGTCTGTGTGTGTGTCAGAGTGTGTGTGTGTGTGTGTATATGTGTCAGAGTGTGTGTGTACGTGTGTGTATTTCATGAAAGCAACTCTTTCACCATTATACCATTGAAGGACGACATGCAACCCCAGACCCAAACCAACACAGTTAATAGTTAACTGTCATCTGCATGTCAGAGGAGTGCAAAACTAATAGGGTAATAATAAGAACGGATATCTATCCCAGTTAATACTGGGGAAGTGGAAAATTTATGGAAGCCTTGAAATGAGCCCAGGAGAACATTTTGAAGCCAGCACATAGAATGCCCTACAAGATAGAGGCCATTCAGCCCCTGAAGCCTAGTCTGCCATTTAATACCACCTGCCTGATCTCATCTCACCCTCAACTCCACTTTACTGCTCTCTCTCCAATAAATAGGATGTTGTCCTGATCCTAACGTTAGGGAACAAAGTGGTAGATGTGGAAGTGGTGGAACATTTTGATGATAGTGACCATAATTCAGGAGAATTTAAGGTAATCATGGACAAGAATAAAGATGGACTGGAAATAAATGTTCTTAACTGGGGAAAGGCTGATTTTAATAAGACAGAGGCCAGCCAAAGAGCACTGAGAGCAGCTACTTGCAGGATAATCTACGTCAGCACACTGGGAGATGTTCAGATGGGTGACAGTGGGAGTGCAGGGTCAACATGTTCCCATAAGGGTCAAAGGTGGGATCCAGAGAAGTCCAAAGAATTGTGGGACATCAAGGGATGTACAGGATCGGATACAGGAAGAGAAAGGAAGCGGATGACAGAAACCAAGGCTGAAAACCAGGGAGATCTCAGATGAGTACAGAAGGTACGGGGGGGGTTGCCTAAAAAACAAAATTGGAGAGCAAAGAGGTGACATGAAGAAACACTGGTGGGTAACATTCAGGAAAATGCAAAAGGTATTTCATAGGTATATCAGGAGCAAGAGTGGAACCAGAAAAGAAATAGAGGACCAATTAGGGACCAAAGTGGCAACCTATGTGTGGAGCCAAAGACATAGCTAAGGCTTTAAATAAGTGCTTTGCATCCGTATTTACTGTAAAGAGGACTGTATTTACTTTCGAGAGTACAGTATAGTTGTAGAATTAGGGAGAGGGATTGGTGATATACTGGACCGAATTAGCATTGAGAGAGGGTAGGTATCACAGTTTCAGCAGGCTTCAAAGTGGATAAACCCCAGGCCCAGATGAGATGTATCTACGGTTTCTGTGGGAGGCCAGGATGAAGATTGAAGTGGCCTTGACACCAATTTTCAAATCCCGTCTAGCCTCAGGAAGGGTACCAAAGGACTGCAGGATGGCCAAGGAGGGACCATTTACTCAAGATGGGTTCTGGGAATAAACTAGGAAACTACAGGCCAGTGAGCCTAATGCCTGCGGTATGGAAATTATTGGGGAAAAAGTACTGAGGGACAGAATCAATTCCCACTCAGAGAGGCAGGGATTAATCAAGGATAGTCAGCACAGCTGTGTTAGGGGGGAGATTACTTCGAACAAATTTGATTGACTTTCTTGAGAGGTTGGCCGTATGTGTCACTGAGGGTAGTGCAGTTAATGTCACCTACATGGTCTTCAGTCAGCCTTTTGACAAGATCACTGTAGTCTGCTTAAGGAGATAAGAGCCCATCGGATCTGGGGTAGTTTGACAAATTGGACCCAAAATTGGCTTAGTGGCAGTAGGCCTTGGGGAGGCGATGGCCTAGTGGTATTATTGCTGGACTCAGATAGCATCCTGGACCTGGGTTCAAATCCCACCATGGCAGATGGTGGAATTTGAATTCAATAACAATCTGGAATTAAGAACCTAATGATGACCATGAATCCATTGTTGAGTGTCAGAAAAACCCATCTGGTTCACTAATGCCCTTCAGGGGAAGGAAACTGCGCCTTACCTGGTCTGGCCTGCATGTGACTCCAGACCCACAGCAATGTGGTTGACCTTCAACTACCCTCTGGGTAATTAGGGATGCCTAGCTAGTAATTTCCTCATCCTGTTAGTGGGTGTCTCTGGTTGGGCCAACATTTATTTCCCTGTGATAACACGGTGTAGAGCTGGATGAACGCAGCAGGCCAAGCAGCATCAGAGGAGCAGGAAAGCTGACGTTTCGGG